TACATCAGCCCTGAACAGATAAAACTAAACACTGGTTTCAAAGAGGCCTTTGGTGTTTTCCTGCACGCTGGAGAGAAGGGTATTAGTTGGTCGCAATTTGCTAACTTCTTAAAGAAGCAGGAGGATTTTCTCAACCTGTAAATGAACACTTCATCCTTCAGTTTATCAGAAACACTCACATTCAAAATCACCCTATTTGGAGATGCGTGGTTTTCACTGGACAGTCAGTACATTAAATATTGTAATCTGGAAAGTAACTGAAGCTGTCAGACAAATGTAATGGAGTAAAAAGGGAAGTATTTGTCCCTGAGATAAAGTACAGTAGAAGTATTCAGCTGCATAAAATAGAAATAAAATTCCACCACTGATGTTTCGAAACATTCAAAACATCTGCTTTACAGAATGTGTTAGGAAGAAGGAAATGCATTTCTTCAGTATATGGCTTGCATTCCTGCAGTAGGCAGGGAGGCGTGTGGTGTCACCTGTGTCCTCGTGCACATGACGGTACACAACATGCACACAAAATGGCAATCTTCTCAATAAAACATTGCCTCTGTAAGGCAACCGCATTTCAATTCAACTCAAAGTGCTTTACAAAAAATAATTAAATATGGCATTTAAAGACATTTAAAAAAAAGAGTCAATTAGAAAATTGTTGACCCATAATTTTGGTTTCCTTTTTTTAATGTCCCGTCTCTCAAACCTCGTACGATATTTGTTTTCCTTGTTTTTACGATTGTCACCTTAAATCCAGATTGTTTGATTTATTTTCCCAAGATTGTAGCACAAACAGTGAAGAAAAACTTAACCGTACTCAGCCCTGTAGTAGGGATGCACCGAATGTTCGGCCACCGAAATTAATCTGCCAAAAATAGCAAAAAAAGCACTTCCGGTGTTCAACCGAATACGTTAAAAGACTGATTTAAATTTTAAAGAACAATTACGTTGACATGTCGGCAGTGTGGAAGCATTTTAAAGTATCTGAGAAAGATGCAAAAATCACCGTTTGCAGACTCTGTTCTGCTGAACTGTCTCCGAGTACATCCACGCCATCTGTGGCTGACTTCTTTAGAAAAGGCAACAAACGGTCTGACCCGTTTATGTCACGCGTCCGAGAAGGCACCTACATTTGGAGTGCACACGTATTCTAGCCTTTATGGTAAATCCACTGAAACGGACCAGAGCGAGCTGACAGGCAGGTTAGAGACTTTATCCTGTCAGTTTGTCTCTTTACAAAGACAAGTGTTGCAGTATGAGAGTCCTCCCTGAAGAGAGGCTGTGAAGTCTTCATGTTACGCCGTACGAGAACCACATACAACATTATATCAAACCGGGTCGGACCGGATGAATTTAGCGCGAGGAGGAAACACATGTGACAACGTCCGGTTTTCAAAATAAGGCGTCTGTACAGGATGGAAATAAGATTAATTGGATTATATTCACAGAAAGTATAAAACATATTACATGTGTCCATTAACAGTAAATGGACACATGTAATTTACTTTAACCGCTATAGTCTCCCCAAATCCTTTAGGAAACACTGAGTACAAAGCACATTTTGAATATTTAATTTATGCAATGGTAAAAAAAGGCAAAATGTAAAAAAAAACGTGTTCGGTATTCGGGAAAGTCTTTCATTAAATTCTGTTTCGGACAAGAATTAGGGTCAAACTCCACAAGGTGGCTTTAATCTAATGCACTAACTCAACATTTCATTTCCTCCAGCAATGTTTTCCAGACTGCGTGTGTGAAGACGCCTACAACAACACCTACGCCTGCGTCAGGACCCTGGACGGTGAACAGAACCTGCAGTACTGCGAGTTTGCAGACAGCGAGGTACAGCAGCACTGCGTTTGATGTATTGGTGACACGCATGTATGTCAGTAAAAACAGATGTGGAGCTCAGCGTCTGTCCTCCGTTGTGTCCCCCAGTCATTTGTAGAAGTGTACAACCTGACGTCGGACCCCCACCAGCTGGAGAACATCGTGAAGACGGTGGATCCGGCCGTCCTGCAGGCGATGAACCAGCGGCTCATAAAGCTCCAGTCCTGTGCGGGCGACAGCTGCCGTGACATCAAGTGAAGAAGAGGCTCCACGAAGCTGCCACACATGGACCTCTTCATACTCACATTGGAAGGTGGGGCTGGTTATATAACAGAAAGGCAACTTTTACCACAAGTATGATAGTTGGAGAGGCCTTTTCTAAACAAACAATGTTTCCTACTGTGAAGTTTTGACATGTCACAGTCGAAAAAGCACAGGGTGAATAATGAATGATGGCTGAGTTATATTTAGCTGCTCCAGTTTCAGGGGCCCGGTTTTGTGCATGCTGGCTGCCTGGGACGCTCAAATACAACAGAGGCTTTGTTAAAAGGAGAAGTTCCACATTTTGGGAAATACGCTAATTCGCTTTACTGCTGAGTGTTGATTCCTCTCATGTCTGCTGATTAGCCTAAATTGGCACAAATGATTCTGTTAATTCTTAATTAATAACACTGCAATTAGCCCTTGAAGTGCTTATTTAAGCTTAAGGGTAAATAAATTATTCCCTTTCAAGCTAGATGAGAAGATCGTTACCACTCTCGTCTGTCTATTAAATATGAAGCTGCAGCCAGCAGCTGGTTAGTTTAGCTTAGCTTAGCACAAGGACTGAAAGCGGGGGGAAACAGCTAGCCTGGCTCTTTGTTGCAGTAACAAAATGTGACTACCAGCAGCTCAGTAATTAACACGCGACATCTTGTTGTTTTAATCTGTACAAAAGCCAAAGTTTGTAAGTGACACATTGCCGTATTTTGGGGGGAAAAAGCATTTTTACACTTTTGTACTTCTACACGTTTTCGTATGGACCCTCAACCAGAAATCAAATTTCCCAAAATGTCAAACTTTTACTTTAATATCACCTGTGGTCTTCCTACTATGACAAGTCAAAATGTCTGCTGTGAAAAATATAAATTTTCTTCTGAGCTGTGCTCAAATATCTCATACTTTATTTTCTTTTAAGATAAACAGTTCGTATTGTGCAGATTGGAGTTACTCTACCACTCTGTCACGTGTCTCTGCATAAAAACTGCACTATAGACTTCTGTTCTTCACAATGTTGAAGGTAAAAAATGCCATCTGAACAATTTACCAGTCACAGAAACACAAAATGTTGCCAGTATGTGTCAGATGTGGAGAATAATAGTTACACAACCAAAGGTTTATCATCTCTAAAGGAATAGTTTGACATTTTAGTAAATATGCTTCTTTGCTTTTAGATGATAAGACTGTTACCAATCTCATGTCTGTCGCTTCCATTAAAAAAGCCATCACCAGCAGTCTGTTAGCTTAGCTTAGCACGAAATAATAGTTGGAAAAGGGGGGGAAACAGCTGGCCTGGTGCTGTTCAAAGTAAACAAAATCCACTCTGTCAGCTCTCCTAGCAAAATGTTTTTGTTTTGCTGGAGTCAGTGGGCTTGAATTTTTTTCAGCATTTTAAAGGGGTGCGTGACAGAAAACCAGCTGCTGGCTCTTTTTACATATTTAACATGATTAGTATCAATCTTCTCATCTTACACTCAGAAAAATTTCCCAAAATGTCAAACGGTTGCTTTAAGGTGAACCTATATAGCATACGGCTCTGTTCTTTTTAATATTTTTGAATTCAAGCTCACACTTTTATCTCAAATGAAATGAAAGTTAAGATAAAAAGTTAAAGTATTGCTCCAACTCTGTGCCTGGACTGGCTTTTTTTAAATTCTAATCCTGACGTTTGGTAATTACAAGATTTGAAACTGTGTATTAATGATGACATTTGTGAAGATGGAAGAAGGGCTGTGTTCTTTTAAGATGTGTTGGTGTTTTCTAATTGTGAGGGAAATTTTTACATGGCAACATTTGAAATGAACGCTTTAATCCTGTATGCCTTGTATTTGCACTGACGAGGCTCGTGTGCCTTTAAACGTGAATGTATTTGCACTGTGAGGAAATTAATAAAAATTTAAAAAAAGTCAAACGAAGCTTTTCAATGCGCTTGTCACGTGGATATTTCTAGGAGGTGTCACACAACAGAGCACATTTAGCATTTATCAGCAGTATAATATGGAGTTCTACGCATTTTAAGTGACATTAACTTCATACGTTATATTATTATACAACTGTATTCTACTGTATTATCATTCATTATCTGTTCACACACCAGCCAACACGTATGGATACCTCACAGAAGGAGTTAGTTATTGACAAATACATTAATAAACACTTACTCTGCTTACAGCTACATTATAGTGAATTACACACGTGTATTAAATGTTTATAAACATGGTGGTTTAAAATGGTGTTATTTTCCTTTTCTCATGAGGGTTGAAAGTTAATGTACAAGATAAAACCTGATATTTAAACAACTTAAGTATTGTAAAGGACTCCAACAAGGTGAATTATTTCATAGCAAGAAAACTAGTTTGTACAAGTGATGTAACGGCCTCCGTGTGGTGGAAATGCTGTTTAAATATCTTCAGCCTGGCTGCTACAAGAGAATAAACTGTGTTTTTGGAATTTAAACCTCCATCGGTGATAAAGACACAGGTGATAAAATATGGGTTTATGACATAATATACTGTAAAAGAGTCTCCATTAGACGCCTGCCCCATTTATTGGCCTAGTGTGCCTACACATTTGATCAAATAAACACAGGTCTCAATTATAAGTCTGGTTTTTAGAGAAGGTCTTCAGATGTATAAAACCTCTTAAAGCCCACCAGGTCGCCTGCTTGAGCGAAGCTGCTTAGATCGCAAATACAAATATATAGATGTTGAAACTTTTGTCAGTATCGTTGCATGTTTTTAACTGAAATTTGGTTGGACCAAGATAACAGTGCAGCTGTCCTTATCGAGTCTACCCCTCCCAACTTCAGTTTTATGAGTGAAGCTAGAGTGCACAAGAGAGGAGGTGGAGTTGCCATTTTGTTTAATGAATCCCTCCAATGCAAAAAGATGTCTTTTGCTTCTTTTGAATATGTGGCTCTTCAGCTGAATTACTCTTCTCAAGCTATTTTTCCAAATATCTACAGGCCCCCTAAATACTGTGCAAACTTTTTTGATGACTTTGAACTGCTGTCTATAATCTCTGTTGACTTTGACTGTGGGGTTATTGTTGGTGATTTTAACATCCATGTTGACGACCCCCAGGACAGAGCGACTAAAGAACTGTGTTGTGTTCTTGATAATTATGGACTGAACCAACATGTGACGAGGCCGAAACACAATAACGGGCACACTTTGGACTCTGTCATCTCCAAGGGTCTGAACATTTCCAAGGTTGTGGTGACTGATGTTGCTCTCTGCGTGCACACAATCAGCGGTAATCACAAAACGGCATATCACTGAAAACACCAGTGAAAAATGTATTGACGCTTTCTCTTCAACACCCGCACTCTCACGGGTCTCAGTCAATGAGCTTGTAGATAATTTCAGTTCTAAAATTACAAATGTTATTGATGCCATTGCACCAGCCAAGGTGAAGGTGGTCTCTGGTAATAGAAGATCTCCATGGAGAAATACCACGCTGGTTAGAACTCAAAAAAGAGAGTGTCGAAAAGCTGAACTCAGGTGGCGGAAAACAAATCTCCAGGTTCATTATGACATCTATAAAGAGAGACTTTGCATTTATAATTTAGAGCTGATAAATGCAAGGCGGTCCTTCTTCTGACATCACCAAAAACACTAATAATGAACGTGCCCTGTTTGCTGCTGTCGACAGGATAACCAACCCTCCTCTGTCTGTAGCCTCTGAACTTCTATCCTTCTAACTTCTTTCTAAAAAGTTTCTAAATGCATGGCCTCAGATTTACTGAAAATTGTCAACATGTCTCTTGGGTTTTTCCCACAGGCCCTGAAAACTGCAGTCATTAAGCCACAGAGCAATCTAGACAGGTCACTAATGAGCAATTATAGGCCCATATCAAATCTCCCATTTTTAAGTAAAATCATTGAAAAGGCTGTTTTTCAACAGCTTAGTGCTTTCTTGGCACTAAATAACTGTTTTGATGTCTTCCAGTCAGGTTTTTGACCACACCACAGCACTGAGACGGCTCTTGTTAAGGTCTTCAATGACATTTAAACACTGACAGTGACAAAATTTCAGTCTTAGTATTCTTGGATCTCAGTGCTGCATTCGACACGGTTGACCACAACATATTACTAGACAGACTTGAAAACTGGGTTGGCCTTTCTGGCACAGTACCAAACTGGTTTGAATCCTACTTAAAGGACAGGGACTACTTTGTGTCTATAGGTAATCACACATCTGAGCTGACAAAAATAACGTGGAGTTCCCCAAGGCTCCATTCTGGGACCTCTTTTGTTTAACATTTACATGCTTCCACTGGCTCAGATTATGAAAAACAACAAAATGTTACCATAATTATGCAGATGACACACAGATTTACATAACCATTTCACCAGGGGACTATGATCCCATACAGGCGCTGAGTAACTGTATTGAGCAGGTCAACGCTTGGATGTGCCAGAATTTTCTTCAATTAAGCAAGGATAAAACTGAAGTTATTGTTTTTGGAGCCAGGGAGGAACGATTGAAAGTCAGTGCTCGACTTCAATCAGTAATGTTAAGAACCACAAATCAATCCAGAAATCTTGGTGTAGTCATGGACTCAGACCTGAATTTGAGGAGCCACATTAAGACAATTACAAAGTCAGCCTACTATCACCTGAACAATATATCAAGGATTAAAGGACTTATTTCTCAGCAGGACCTGGAAAAACTTATCCATGCATTTATCTTCAGTCGACTCAACTACTGTAACAGTGCAACACACTGCAACAGGCTCCCTAAGAAATCCATCAGACAGCTGCAGCTGATTCAGAACGCTGCTGCTCGAGTCCTCACTAAGACCAAAAAAGTGGATCACATCACTCCAGTTCTGAGGTCTTTACATTGGCTTCTTGTATGTCAAAGAATTGATTTCAAAATCCTGCTGTTAGTTTATAAAGCACTAAATGGTTTAGGGTCAAAATACATTTCTGATCTTCTGCTTCCGTATATCTGGAACAAACTCCCAGATAACTGCAGGTCTGCTGAAACTATCAGTTCTTTATTAAATTAAGACTGAAGACTTTTCTTTTTACTGATAATTTACACTGCACTGTAACTTTTACTTACTTTTACTTTTACTGAAAACTTGCCTTGCCTTACCTTACACTAGTCTCTCAGAGCCAGATCAAATAAATGATCCATAATTGATTTATTATTATAGTAATATTCATATTGGTTGAAATAAAGAATTAGCCGCATATTTTCCATCTTTGCTGAAAAAGAGTTTTGTGTGAAAGGATTTAAAGGCCTGTCCCAGATACAGGCACAGCGAGTTCAGTGACTGAAGCAAATAAATGCTGGGGCTATTGACCGAGTTTTTACTGTATATAAAACATGACGTAAGGTCAGATTGAGTTTTCACTGTAACTATTGAGCTACTGGGGCGCTTTGATTAGCCTCGACTTCAGTGCATTTAAAAACACGTTGACTGGACTACTGTGCAGATGCTTTACACACTAATGCAATAACTTCAGCACATGTCATCTTCTGCAAATAGAGTCATGTTCACAGCTCAGAAGTAACAAGGAAACCTCAGGAAGTGTTTCAGTCTGGCAGACTGACGATAACGCTCGTCCAGCCTGAGGAGGATCTAGGTGCGGGCATTGCAAACTATGTACCAGGCACTGGTTCATTTCCATGGTGATTTAGATCAGACCTATTTAAACCTTCTTTATTAAACTGAATTTCCTGATTTACTGAATTGAATTTTTAGATTTCTTTAAAATGATTACACAAACTTTAACCTTTCCACTGACCTAAAAACCAAGATGATAAAAGACGGACATCTTCAAATCAGAGTCGGTTGAAACCACACACACACACACACAATTGTATTATTTTTAATTTTGAGAGTTCATTTCACAAACGCACTGCGACTGAAAACATTTGAATCCATTTTGTGAACATTTAAAACAGAAGACGTCATCACTGTGACCTGAAGTCAGTGTTTCATACAAGAACAAAAATCCAAATTGTGGTATCCTTTCTCTAGACGAAACATTCAGCATCAGCGCCGCACATTTCCATCAGAGGTACTTGTACACAGCTTTGTCCTGCAGGGTCTGAATCTCTAACTTCACAGGGCATTTGTAGAAGTGCGACAGCAACGACTCTGAATAGCCTATTAAAAAGTAAAACTTCTGCGGTGGTAATTTCTGCAACATTAAAGCACACACTACGAGCATGTTGCCGCGCCTTTTGATCACAATCTCATTGGCCAGGCAGCTGTGGAAGGTCCCGAACATGAAGCGCCTTATGAACACGTCCTCTATGGTGCGTTCAGCTGCTCCCTCTTCTCCTTTGAGGTTACCTGGCAGAAACAGGAAGCAGAGAGTAGTCCAGAGACGTACAGTACTATCAGCCTCTAACGTTGACGTTCTCATCCAAGGTGAAAGGATTCATAAAGTTACTGAATGTCAATCTTTACACTTAACTGTTTTAAGTGCATGAGTACGTGCTCACTGATCCGTGCACCTTGAGTACAGAGAGTACCCGGAAGGTGCACTCATAAGCTGCACGATCATTAAAGTAGAAGTGCGTTTGTTTTGATTCAGTCGAACTCATGTGAGCAAACAAGCCGGCGTATCCACTACTAGTAAAAAGTTTTAGAAATCCCTATTTTTGTAGTTTGTATGTAAATGTAAGTAGCTCAAGTCCAGTGGAAAAACCTTAAATTAACTTTTACTTTTAAAAATAAAAGTAAGCAGCAAACTGCCCAAGTTAAAAATGTTTACGTCACCAAAACAGACATTTTCAGATTTAAAATGAACAATTAAAGAGTTTTATCAATTATTTCACTGTAGGATCAACCGATGACCAGCTGCTCTGTCTTCCTTCATTAATAATATAAAATATATATAATATTGTACAAATAAAGCTTCTGAGGGTGCATTACGAGGCTGTTCCAAGGTGTTTAGTGTAGAAATGTGTTTCAAGGCTTCATTCAAGACAAAGTTTAGGTCAGCAAAACTGAGAAATAATGTAAATTTCATAGATTTTTAATGCATCAATTAATGAGTTAACAACTTCAAGTTATTCTGCAGCAGTGGAAGCAAATGAAGCCTTAAAAGTTGATGCAAAAACACTTTTTAGTGAGCGGTCAAACGACGAGAATGATTCGCCCGGTTACACAACCCTTAAAAAGAAGAAGCTGTGATCAAAATGTTGGGATCGTCATTTGCAGTAAGTGCGCCACATCTGTAATCTATTTCCGACAACACCACCCTGTTACAAACCTCAGAAAGTCGGGGTGAAATATGTAACGCGGGGCGTATCGAAGCTGCCGAGTTGTGCTTTAACGCGCTCGGTCACACTCACTCGTATGCTGCGACAGCCATCCTTTGCGGTGGCCAATGTGATGAGGTGGAAGTGCTTCCTCATAGGTCAAAGGTCTGTCTCCTTTCCCCACTCGAGCACGAGCTGCCCGATTCTGGAAAATTAAAAAGAGAGAAAGAAAGAATGAACGTCAAGAAATAATTATCTTTGAGGTCTTTGTTTAGAAAGTCTCTCGTAAAGAAAACTGATAAGTAGACAATGAGCCTAACTTCGAAAGCAGGAGAGCTCACTCGTGTTTAAATCTGCCCTCGTGCAAAAAACCCAAACTTCAGTCTGTACTTGCTTTAATCCAAATCAGGAGAGGGCGGAGACTTTTCACTTCTAACATACAGCTTCAAAACACAAACACATTTGGAAAATAGGGCTGAACGATTTAGAAAAAAATACTGACTCAAATTGCGATATTGGAGGGAATTATTATATCTACGTCATTTTCTCATCCAAAAACATAAATGGTTGTGGTGAGATTGTTGAGAAGATCTGCACCAAACAAAGATGTTTGCTTAAGTAATAATAATAATAATAATAATAATAATAAGTGTGTAGAATATGATTCGTAGGCAGGGACATCTCAGCAGCACGACAATATTTAATTTAAAATGGTATTTTGACACACATATCACCTTTAACAAATATTGCACCTCATGCGATTTGAACATCGCAGTAGGCTACACTGCGATTTCTATAAGATTTCGATAAATTGTTCATCCCTAGTGGCCGCCAAATTAAACATTTTAATTGTGTTAAGGCAAGACAGATTAATTAATTTAGTGTTTATTCTGATTTTTCCAGTACTGTATACTGTTTTTGTAAAGTGATTTATGGATTTCATTGTTGATATTGACGATCTGGAGTTTGGACCTTTGCCCGCTGCTCCTGAATTTATTTTGACTTGTAATCCAAGCTGGGCACAGTTATATGCATGACACATTATAAAAAATGTCATTCATTCATCCCAAATATTCTGTAACTCTGGGAGATACCAACTTGAATTATCAAACTCAGTCTGATAAAGCTTCCTATTTTCGCCTGAGCTAAACTTGAGAATGTATTTTTGCACAGGATGAGGCGCTTGGATTTTATCCCCCCCATCTCTGGCACTGAAAACACAGCAGGACAGGGTTATTAATGTTCATACGGGCATCTGACTTTTAAGACAGCCTATCCTTTTAAGTTACTTTATACAGCAGTCTTAAAAGGAAACACATTACAACAGCCAGATGGTTCACTGTGATGATGTCTGGAGCGCGGTATTTACCTTGCAGCACGCTGCAGTGACGTGGAGGGCTCTGCTTCCAGAGGAGCTGCACAATGAGCCGGACCAAGCCAAGGCTTTCTGCAGAGAGAACACCGTGAGGTTATTACGACTAGTGCTGAGGACAGAGGGCTTTAACATAAATAACCATTTCATCACCATCAACAAAAACTGATTAATAATCTTCGTAGAAATTATGACAGGGCTGTTGCTGTATTGGATAACTGGATACTCTTATGAGCAATTGGTGTAAAGTTATGTCCAGAGTCCAATTAACCCAATAAGGTGCAAAATGAGATGTGGGCCCATATTTAATACCTACTGTATCACTTTGTGGGTGATTAAGCACACGTTTATTTAGTAAAATGCACACATGTGTGCACAATGTAACTTCAAACATTTAACAGAGAACCCCTCTACAATTTGGCTTTGTCCTATTTACAGATTCAATATATTAAATTGCCACAAACTAATTACCACATTTGTTCATCTCAAGTCTTCTTGAGGCCAAACTGGTGGTCCACCCTTATTTACGCCAATGTCAATACTGTACACTTAACACACTATATGTTGTCATTTGTGTCATTTTGTGGTGTTAAAGAGTGACACAAGTATAATAAATAAATGCAGATAAAATATTTGAATACATAAAAAAGTAGATAAAAACATTTTGGTAATGAAAAACACTTTCTGTATTTTTACATGTTTTTATTTATAGTTCATAAAATCCATATTGTCCCAAAATCAGAGATACAGATACAGTGTTAGTTAGTTATCAAACTAACTGCTCAGAAATTCAATATGTGTGACGCAGCTGATAAAAGAAGTATTGATCTGTTAGATGGTGTTGAAAAGGAGACACTATTAACGTTAATAACATGACACTGTAGCTACCGGTAGGATAAACTGTTTTCTTCTAAACAGACACGCTGTCAAACTCAGAAAACAAAATTATATACCATTGTAAGACGAGTTTATCTGACGATAATATATTAATTTACTCACCAGCAGCCTCACGCTGCCTGTGCTGCTCAAGGACGCCGCCATGTTGTTATGAATAACACACTGCTGGGAGCTTAAATTATTCCTTTTTAATCCAGTATCGTTATAATTTTAATTTATAATCAAAACCGTAACACTGCAATGATTTTAACTCGAGTCAAAATGTTAAATAATGTTATTTCTCCGGGAAATTGAACGCGTGCTCGGGTACTGTTTATGCGACACTCCGGCATCTGTTTCCACCGGACGACCGTTAACCTGGACTAACCGGATGCAATAAAATAAAATAGTTGATAGAAATGGTAGCTTAGAATATATTGATTTTAGTAAGTATTAGTGCTGTTTAAATATACATAACTCATTATTGTATCTTTGTAATCATGTGTTTGTTTATTTGCGCCCGTTAATTTTGTGCAATCTTCCGCATTCGTCTTATTGTGCTCTTATTTTGAAAAACGGGGGACCGGACGCTTTATTATTGTTCTGGAAGGAGGAACACAGGCGTGAAGAATTGTTCCCCATCGAGCCCCACTTATTTACAACTTTATATCTGTTGACAGAGGCTGTTTGTGCAGGCTCGCGGGTTGTCGGCTGCTTTAAAGGTCGGTGAACACGGAGAAACGTTAGAGGCCGCGATGGCGTCGCCGCTGGAGATGACGGAGATGTACGACAACGCGCTGCTGGGCATCCTGCAGCACGTTGGGAACATTCAGGACTTTCTGCAGGTCTATTTTGGGTTTTTGTACCGCAAGACGGACTTTTATCGCCTGCTGTCAAGTCCCAACGACAAGATGGGCTTCCCCCCCGGTGTGGCGGAGAAGATGGTGCTGAAGGTGAAGTCTGTCAACATGTTAATTATTTTCAATAACATGGCAACGCGGTAAAAAAAGCGACTTCTTAAGTTAAGTTACAGTCTGTGCACCTGTACTGATATTGTTTGCCAGTAAACATTAAAATCTTACTAAGGCTACCGGCTTATTAGACACGTTTTTGTGGTCGTTTAACACTCAAAGTTTATTGTGATATTTACAAATAGATAGATAGAGAGGTGTTTCTATTATTCTGTCCACCCCGGTTACAACAATAAGGTTAGACACTGTATAACAGGAAAACTCCAAAATGACTGCACAGTTGAATCAACAAAATCTGCAAAACATTTTACGTTATTTGTTTTTCAATGTTTTGTGTGTGTCGTTGTGTGAAAAGAGAAATAGCTTCACTTAATGCATTTGCAGGCTTGGAAGTGATATACCTGAAACCAGTGCCAGTGATTCTGAAGGCACATTTATTGTAACACAAGCAGCGATGAAGGATGTCTAACTTCCCTTATTTCTGTTCAAAGGAGCGAGAGGATACAGGAGACTATCCTGCGAGTCTTTTCTCAGACAGCGCAGCCTTTTATAGGAAATCAACTGATCGGACTGCAGGTTTACACCGGGACAAATTACAGATTCAACTCTCATGTAATCTCACGACCACATTTAGATTTTATTTTTATGAATGTCCCTCTGCATCAGGCAGAAAGTTTGAAGTGGGATGCATTTATATTACGTCCACTTTCCCTAAAACATCTTTCACTTGGAAAATTACATAATGAATATAACAAACAGAATAAAAACAACGCTGATGTGCTGTCAGCTTCGGAGAAGTAACTCGTGATTTGACGGATCTGTTCACAATACAAAAACAGGTTTTTAATGGAAATGCAGATGCTTGTCAAACTGTTTACTTAAGATAAACATGTGGAGAAATTTCACATTCACTGCAAGGCAGACTGAGCCGTTAACACCTGCAGACTGACAGCCGGTCCAGCTGTGCCGCCGTCATCAGGAACTGAACGGGAACGGACAACTCACGTCTTTTAAAATGTTTCCTCGCTTCTTCAGTCCTCGTACCTTTTCCTCGCATTTGTTGCACCTGTAACCACACCCAAAAGTGACGTCCAAGGTCCTAGAGTACACATGTACATCACTGCAGCAAGGTGACAAGTGAAACTACTGGAGGTCAGCAAAAACAAGAGGTTCAGTGTGAAGTTACTCTATATGTGCTCCTCCAGGTGAGGTCAGATCCTGTGCTACAGTGAGCAGAGAGTCAATAACTGAACAGCAGCAGATAATCTGTTAAGTTCCTGCTCTCTCTGGGGGGAAAAAGGACATGAGTTTTAGTAAAATTCCTGCCTTGATCTGGGATAATCTGTTTTTTTTCTCTCTCTTCAGACATTTAAGCTGTTTGAGAAGGTGGCAGATCACGACAGGGAGAGACAGCTGAGCGAGCTGCAAAAGAGAGAGGAGAGTCGGTGTGTTCCCCCGGCAGTCCAGGAGCTGGAGATCGCCGCCGAGCCTCCAGAGGGGGCAGAAGAGTGCAGCACAGAGGCGGCACAGACTGCGAGCTCTCCCTCGGAGGCGACCATCAGCCCTCAGCCCGACAGCAGCAGTAGTGGCGGCGGCGGCGGCGGCCCGGGCCAGTCAGCTCAGGGAGGCCAGGCAGCTGCAGCCGGCACAAGCTCAGCAGAAAAGTGAGTTTTATTGTCTATTGAAAATGACGTTACATATTAGTACAATCTTGATGTATTAGCTCCACACAGGTGAGCGTAGAGATGGGACATGAGTGTGAATAACGACACTAATAGTAACTAGGATTTGGGATAGTATAGGGTTCAGCGACATCTCCTTAAATCAATAACACCATTAATTCTCACGTTTACCTCCAGTAACGATTAATAAACAATGTCAAGCAACAATGCCGAAAGATTCTCCAGTTTCAGCTTCTCAGTCGTGATGATTTGCTGGTTTTCTTTGTCTTATGTGATTTTAAACTGAACATCTTTGGGATTCGGACTGTTGGTTTGACAAAACTTAATGAATGTACGTAAATTGTCGTGGGCATTTTTAACCATTTTCCATGATTTTATGGACTAAACCATTTATCGAGAAAAATATTGGCGGATTAAACGATAAGGAAATGAAACCTTTAGACACTGGACAAACCACACATTAAGATTGTTTCCATCAACTTCAAACAAAAGATTTATTATAATTGTTTTGCATGTTCTTCCTCAGATTTGTTGAGTGATCCACTTGTTTGGCATCAAGTGTTTGTTCTGACCATAAAGAAAAGTTTAAAACCAGAATTAACCATCTGGTTTCTTCAACTTTCACTCAGGAGCAAAAATCAGCCTTTAAAACATAAACAAATAACAGATTGACATTTATCCAGATAATTATTGATGCCGAATGATATGAAATATTTTAGTGTGTCAACTCTTTTGGCAATATCGCCCAGCACTGCGCTAAACCTGTCGAGTGAGTAAAAACACCGCACAACACGCTGAACCACAGGTCAGTAAACACTGGAGCTGTGGAGGTAGACTACCCGCCAATCCCGCAAGAACGCCAACGTGTACTTGTACCAAAACAAACCTGGACGACAACCAGCAACTTGTTCTCTTTATATGCAGCGACATTTGTGCTGAAAAGGCAAAAATCAGGGGGGAAAACGCGAAGTTTGTGTCTGTTAGAGAGCTTGAGAGTAGATTCATTGTCCAGCCCTAAAACTGTCTAATTGGATAATAGTTTCTTTGATATTTTACTTAAGTTCCTGTAATCTGTTATGAGTGAGGCGTGAAACATTTGACACATCGTGGGTATGTTATTCTGGAGAAATCCAGTACCAGGAAAAAAAAAAAACTTGATACAGAGCAAACGACGAAACAGCAAGCAACGTTGCTAATATTAGCTAAGTTGTGGGTTAGCAAATTGTGGCTACAGTTGCTGCAGTAAGGCTAACATGAAGCTAACAGCAGCTCCAGACAGCGATACTCACAACTCTCCTGCTGCTACAGCCTTAACATCACAGCAACAGCACATCTTGGGGAACTAGAATGTAAGCTGGATGTTTGCAGGCGAGTCCATCATCTGTACATAATGTTGGCGCCTGGCTGTGTGCGTGTTGTGTTTCAGGGATCAGGGCAAGAATCAGTCCGACCCCGACTGTTACAACGGGGCGGTGAGGGAAAACTACAGCTGGTCTCAGGACTACACTGACGTGGAGATTCGCGTGTTTGTGCCCAAGACGGTTGTTAAAGGCCGACAGGTAAACGCAGTCCACTCCCATCACCTGACATCTTGGGAGCTCTGTTCTCATGTCAGCTGTGTCTCATGCTTGTTGTGGTCCTCAGGTCAGAGTTAGTCTGCAGGCCAGCAGCATTCAAGTGTGTGTGAGGGAGGGGGCCGAAGAGAAACACTGATGGAGGGAGAATTCACTCATAAGATCAACACGGAAAACTCTCTGTGGAGTCTGGAGCCTGGAAGCTGTGTGGTCGTGAGTGCACAAATATGATTTTCTCCATATGAATAACTTTTAAATCAACGCCTTTTTTTAATTTATTTTAACTCGCTGCGTTTGATTTCCAGCTGTCGCTCAGTAAGGCCTCGGAGGTTTGGTGGAACGCGGTGCTGAAAGGAGAACAGGAGATTGACATAAACCAAATTAACCGCGAGCGCTCCATGGCAACAGTTGACGAGGAGGAGCACGCCGTCCTGGACAGACTCACCTTCGACTACCATCAGAAGCTGCAGGGCAAACCACAGAGTCATGAAATGGTGAGGATGCAAATCGGCTCATAACACTACGAGGAACCAGGTTACTCAAGTAAACCAACAACAACAGCCGACCTTAGTTTGGAAACATGGATCTGTTATTTAACTGCTTTGTCTTAGTAAGGATGCATCGTTCTGTCATCTGATCTGTACTTTCATGCAGCTGCTCAGCATATTACTTTTCTGCTGTCTTTCAAAATGCCCGATGTGTTCTTGTAAAAAGCTTCAGTTTAGTTTTAATTAGTTGTTAAAGCATGTTTTCTAGTGTAGGTTAGTTTTTATTTTAGGGAAGTGCTTAGTTTTAGTTTAGTATGTATTAGTTTCAGTGTTAAGTTTTAGACCCTGTCCACACTACTGCGTTTTTGTTTTAAAACAGAGACCTTTTGCTACGTTTGCACTTCCCGTCCAGACTGAAACGGCGAAAACAAAGACCGAAAACGCTGGCGACCCCGTTTTCGTTTTAAAATTCCGGGTAGCGTTTTAGTTTAGACGGGCAAAAACGGAAGACTTTAAAAACGACGATGCAGACGCTCACACGCTTCAAGGCAGGATTATCTGTGATTGACAACTCGTTACCATGGCGACCTGTCAATCAGGCTAGAGTGACTCGTACCCTTATTGGGAGTCGGCTGTTCACTTTCCCTGATGAGTACATTTAGTTTTAAGCCTGTTGTTCGCTAGACAAAATTTATTAGCCCTGTTAAAATGACAGTTAAGGTGAATTACAGATGCACCTAGCTAAGCAAGCTAGCTAGCTCCACACACGGCCGTTAGCTCAACCGTCACGTCCAAATATGGTCACGTCTGGTGGCGCTGGTTGTAAAAACTCAAGATGGCGGCGCCCTATCAGCCAAACTCGAGGCTTCAAAACGGCCACAAACCAACGTGTGACGTCACGATGACTTCGACCACTTCTTATATACAGTCAATGCTTTTGTACCATGCAAACAACACTTATAGCAGACACTTGTACTGTGCATGCCGCCGTATTTACTTTGCAACGACTCCCAGTCTGTTTTCCGCTACCACACTCCCGTGTTACGTTCCCTAACAGTCCCAGCTCGTTATTGGTCCATGAAAAAAGTATGTGGTGCGATTCTTCGTCTGCATAACTTTATTCTTTCGCCAAATCTTCTGTAACTAGAGATTAGACCATTTGCTTCATGTTTACACCGGTACGTGCATGCCATGTGTACCTGAACTGGATGTGCGTTTTAATATAGAGGGAGATCAACTCTGATACGCAGCTAAAACGCTGCTGTGGACGGAGATCGTATTCGTTTTAGGACTCTGTTTTTAAACAAAAAAGGAGTAGTGTAGATGTGGCCTAAGTCTTTGGGACCCTGCCGCTTTCTCCCAACTTTCACAGCCATGATGCCAGGCAAGGGGCGTGGACTAAAAACTGGCATAGCTAAGAAATTGGAAAACAGACTGAAGACTTTACAATTTAAATTTATTTTAGTTAGATTTGCTAACAGACGGATTTAGTTAGTTTAGTTTTTTTGTAAAGCCTCGTTTTTATTCTATTCCAGTTAACGAAAATGTTTTTGTTATTTAACAATAATAACCTTGCTGGTTACGCACATACACGGCCAAGAAGCTGACAAAACCTACATGGGGAATTCAAGTTTCACTTTCACTTTAATCCTCCGTCCTGATTGGGGAAACCGGGTTCCTCCTTTAAGTGACATTGAAGACATCAGCTGACTGTCTCCTGGTTAGTCATTCAGACAGTGGTGACTTTAAATAAATGTTCCACACACTTCATTCAGACGTGACAGGACATTAATGTGATGCAAACGCTTGTGCAATATCCCAAAGTGAGCTAAAAAGGAATGATATCATCAAGGTTTTCTCACAGGCTGCATGCAGGAGGTGGAGGATTTAAAACTTGACTTAAGGAAATTTATCAATCCACTGATATATTTTTTTATAATTTAACATTTGATAGCAAATTCTGCAGCCTGTTTTAATTTATGTTGCATGATTTGCACTGGTGGTCAATTACAGCAAGTGGACTCACGCCTAGATGGCACTGTTGTCTTTACTAGCGTGAACGGTACCTGTTTAACTCGTCTTCCTCCGGGTCTCTCCACAGAAGGTGCACGACATGCTGAAGAAGGGCTGGGATGCTGAAGGGTCTCCGTTCAAAGGGCAGCAGTTCGACCCCTCCTTGTTTGACATCCCGCCCAGCGCGGTGCAGTTCTGAGCCACATCTTAAAAAAACTCTGCCAAAAATGAACTGAATCCTTGTTTACTTACAGAACTGGTTACAGTAAATTCAGCTTTTACCTGCCGGCTGTGGTGTTGGAAGTTGTCTTTAACTGTAAGAGCAGATTATTTTGTGGGAATCCAGATTGTGACGAGGATAAGTCATAATATCAAACATTTCTTGATGTTTTGGCAGTTTAAAATGATAAATATGTGTTGTTAAACTCTTATGCTCTTAATTTAATATACTCTGCAGTGCTCTAGTTTGTTTGTCCTACTGAGTGATTCTGTTTATTTTTATTTTTCATTCTCACACCAATCCCCTAAAATGTTGAACATTTAGTCGGCTCTCAGTACCCAGGTTTCCATCGAATGTAGCGCAAATTTTAACCAAATATCCCACAAATAGGCAAAAGGAGATGCAAATGAATGTGTTTCCATCCACTATGAGACCATTAGGTGTTGTTCACTGACCAAAAGCTGGTGCGACTAAAACCCGGGAGCTCAGCGAGCAATTCTCATTCATGCGAGTTCCATTTCCTTTATACGTCGATGTTTCAAACGGTGGAAACACGATGGACGTCAGACATTTCTGTTAGTTTCATTGTTAATGTGAGGAAGGTTCCAGCCTCCTCATCGCTCCACACAGCTCTGGTGTTTCCAGCTCTAACTGGAAGTTTAAGTCATCATCTACTAACTAAGTCTGTTTCCATTGCAGCTTTGCCTTTATCAATCACCAAACTCTTCAGCCTAAGCAAAATGAAATGCGCATAAAACAGGTGGATGGAAACACACTTGTTGTTACTGGGTGAATCGGTCACCTTCAAACTGACGACCTCGGCAAAGAGAAGTCTTCTTCGTTGCTCTTCAAGGTTTTTGCAGCTTCGGACTCCTCCTTTGGTCGTCCAAGGCCACGAACTTGTGCTCTTGGGTTCTTCTGTCATCTATCATAAAAACTTAGCAGATGGACAATATAACAACATCAAAAAGGACAGTCTGAGCTTCATCTGCCTCACAACCAAAAAAAAACCCTCAATTGTTAATAAATAAAAGAAATATCAAACATTAAAGTTCATTCTTGACCATGGAAGTAAAAGTTTGAGATAATGAACTCCTTCCGCTTAATGCCAGCGTGGGCGAGTACTCAGATCTTTTACTAAGTAAAATTATTATTTATCCCTGAGTGGAATTTGTTTTTGTTTTCCTCTGCATTTACCCGTAATTAGGAGCAGAAGCTTGGGGGTCAGTTCAGGGTGTTTCTCGGAGGCACCTTCGGCAATGTTCTGTGCAGGATTCAAAGGACTACAGGCTGGAATTGAACCTGGACTGCTGGATTTTAGCCTGTACACGGTGCATGTGCTCTTGCAGGTGAGCTAACCAGCACCATGTGTTCAGTGCATTGATATTGCAGTCGGAGAAGGTGGAGATCATTTTAATTCTTTTATACGCTGCTGGGTTGTGTTTTGTGAAAATTCTTGAGAGCAGGTAAACTCTTACTGCAGAGGAAGATCTCAGGATGTCTCGCACAGCATTGTTTATTGAAGCCCAGCCGGGTAGACTGGCAGCACGAATACAGAGTTAACTCAGCACCAAAACCAAATCTGAAGGATGCTCCTGGGGGATTTTTATCCCTCCGGGTTATACAAAAATTCACTTGTGAAGATTCTTGGATGTTGGTTCAAAACAAGATGGTTATCTATGTTAACCTAAAGTCATGTGT